CTCCCTAACCTGTTCTTCCTCCCACCTATCCCCTCCCACCTCAAGCCGCACCTCCATCTCCTACCGACTTACCTCATCCCGCCCCCTTGACCTGTGCATCCTCCCTGGACTGACCTATCCCCTCCCTAACTCCCCACCTACATTCACCTTTACTGGCCCCATCCCCGCCTCTTCGACCTGTTTGTTTCCTCTCCACCTATCCTCTCCTCTATCCATCTTCTATCCGCCTCCCACTCTCTCCCTATTTATTTCAGAACCCTCTTCCCCTCCCCCTTTTCTGATGAAGGGTCTCGGCCCAAAACGTCAGCCTCTCTGCTCCTGTGATGCTGCTTGGCCTGCTGTGTTCATCCAGCCCTGCACCTTGTTGTCTCGGATTCACCAGCATCTGCAGTTCCTACTATCTCTGTAGAAAACCATAGCACTTTTAAAAACATTTTACATTTCTTTTACATTGTGGATGTAGCTGTTTGTATGAGATCAATGCAATGCATATAAGGGGACAAACACAGAATGCTGGAGAAACTCAGCAGCTCTGGCAGCATCTGTGGAGCGAGAAACCGAGTTATTGTTTTGAATTCAGTTTGATTTCTCTTCGGAGCTGACAGTATTGATGTAACTTCCTTCTGTAACAACCAGATAAGAGTAATAATGTTAATTCTTCAATCATGTTTAAAACATGTTTCAATTATCTGCTAGTTGGCTGTTGGGACACCATAGGGACAATTCTTATTAATTAAAAGTTTGAATCTTTCATTGTCAAAGCCATCAAGTTACCATTGAAACAGGTGGAGAGTTCTCAGCATCCCTTCATGTATAATGGGTTTCGTTCTCTGCTGATTCAATGCTGATTCAGTAGTCAAGATATTTGTTAATTTTTGTCCTTAGATTTTTTTCAGAGGCTTTCAACAAAGGCAGGATCGAAGTCCTGCAGGGAACTGTCCAGACATGTCTGCTGTTCAGAGATTTCTCAAAACTTGGTGACTTTTCCAAGTCAAGAGATTTCTACAGCCATTTCAAAACAGTATCCTGGGTAAATTGAAGTTGTTTGCCTTCAACCAAAAGTCCAATGTAGTAAATCAGTCGATAGAATTAAAGATTAATAGCCCATATGTTACAACTTTGTGACAAACTCCATGACATTTGGTCAGCATGCAGTGGGCTATAAACCGGGATAAATCATTAACTCCAGTGCCTGCCAAGTCTGCAGCCTTTGGTTAAAGCTTTATAATCCCATTACATTTGGTTCTCCACAGATGGAGCAAAGCTGCAGTGAAACATTACAAGCCCATTACATGGTATTCTCCATGCAGGATAAATTTATCCTACCATATCGTCTCATGTAAAAATCCACAAATAGATCAATGCTGATTCAGTAATGCAATGTATATAAAATTGGACAGGCTCAACTTTGCTTTTGGATACAGTTTTTCAGGACTGAGCTGTGAAGTGACTGGACAGTTTAATGTGGGGCCAATTGAAGTGTTTCCTTCACAATTCATATCTCTTAAATTTGGAACAGAACTGCTGGCCAGGTGTGATATATAGAAGTGAGCGGTGATAATAGGTGAATGGAGAGAGGGCATTTTTTTTAACACCTACCAGTTGCTGAATACCTTGAAGAGGAAATCAGAATCATTAAGGAGCAAGTGGTTTAGAGTGGATTTGAGGAGATTTTTTCACCCAGTAGGTTGCGGGTATATGGAAGTTACTGCCTGAATGGGTGGAAAATGTGGAAAACCTCAATACATTTAGAACATAGAACAGTACAGCACAGTACAGACCCTTTGGCCCATGATGCTGTGCCGACCTATTATCCTGCTAAGATCAATCTACCCTGCATACCCTACATTTTACTACCCTCCATGTGCCTTAAGAGTTGCTTAAAAGTCTCTAAAGTATCTGACTCTACTATCACTGCCGGCAGCGCATTCCACACACCCACCACTCTCTGTGTAAAGAACCTACCTCTGACATCTCCCCTATACCTTTCTCCAATCACCTTAAAATTATGCCCCCTCATAATACCATTTCCGCCCTGGGAAAAGTCTCTGACAACAGACCTATTTAAATGAATACTCGAAACACCATCACATACAAGGCTATGTGCCATGAGCTGGAAAATGGGATTAGAATAGATGTTTGTTAGATGACTGGGATGGTGATGGTAGGATGAAGGGCTGTGCTGTTCAAACTCTATGATTCTATCAATGAATGAAAAGTATGTGATTTATGCATTTTAATGTTAACGTTTTAGAGTTGGAGTTCAAACTAGTAATGTATGGGTGTTTATCTATTTTTCTTTGAAGGGATTTAATAATTAATCTGGTTATTCTTTTCAGAATCATAATTTGAAATCAGTGTGCATCAGAGAACAGACGGCTGAAGGCTCTTTAGAAAGTAATGGAAGTTTGTTTATGTTGTGACATTTTATAATAGGAGGGAGAAACATTGAAATATGTTAGTTTGCTTTTGTGTTTAGAATAATTTGTGTCCTTCTGTGAATGTTATAGTGAAAGACTGCCATGTTAAATAAAGAAGACAAAAATATGATCTATCAAGCCAGATTTAATTCTAGCATCTGATTAGTCCATGAATAACATCAGCTAGAATCATAACAATCATGACTAACTTTTCTCGTCACTAATTGTTTCACATAAGGACTGGATGAAATGGTAAGCACAGGTTTAGGCCTCAACATTTGCAACATCAAGGTGGTCATCCAGTATAGGCCCTTATACTATATTGAAGATGTTGATCACCTAGCTGATAAAAATTTGCAGCGATGCTTGGGAAAGGCATTGTATGTAGGCTTGAAATGAGACAATGGTCTTATCTAACCAGTGCTTGTTCAAAGAAACACAAAATTATTATGGTACAGAAGAAGGCCATTCCACCCATTATGTCTGAACTTACTCTCTGAAAGAGCACTATGACTTAGTACAATCATCCTGTCCTCTCCCCATAGTGCTGACAACTAGATGATTATCTAAATAGATATAATGCCCTCTTGACTGCTTTGATTGAACCTACATCCACCACATTACCAGGCACTGCATTTCCAGTTTCAGACCACTCCTTTTTCTCACATCACATTTACCTCCTTTTCAATATCACTTTAGATCTCTGCCTTCTTGTTATTGATCTGTTTATAAATGGGAACAAGTTAATTTCGGTCTATTCTGTCCAGATATCTACTGCTTTTGAAAACTTGAATCAAAACTCCTCTGAGCCTTCTCCTCTCCAAGGAAAATAATTCCAACTTCTACGTTCTGTTCACTTGATAATAAATCATTGCCACTAATACAATTACACTTGCTTGAAAGATTCTTATTATAACCTGTGGTGTAAAAATCTGAGTGTAGCTAAAGTATTATAGGGCCACTTGTTTGAAAGTAACGCAACACATTTTACTCCAAATGAAAAGTTAAAAGTGTGGGCTCCTTCATCATCATTGAATCCCTACAGTGTGGAAACAGGTGCTTTGGCCCAACAAGTCCACACTGACCCTCACAGCATCCCACCCAGACCCATCCCCCTATAACCCACACATCTGTGAACACTATGGGCAATTTAGCCCAACCAATTCACCTATCCTACAGATCTTTAGACTGTGGGAGGAAACTGCTGCACCTGGAGGAAACCCATGCAGACACAGGGAAAATGTGCTAACTTCTCACAGACAGTTGCCTGAGGGTGGAATTGAACCTGGGTTCCTAGTGCTGTGAGGCAGCAGTGCTAGCCACTGAGCCACTGTGCCACCCCAGTGTTGTAGTGGATCAGGACAATATCTGACTTTGCATTTAGCAATGCTGAACAGATGGTTCCACTTTTGATTCCTAGCCTGTATGAGTTTACTGCTGTCAACTGACACAGCAGTGGGGATGTTGCAATCAATTTCAATGCTCCTGGACTAGAGAAGGGAAGAATCAGAATTCCTGCACCAGGCCACTAACCTAATGAACTTGACTTCCAAATACAAACTGTAGAAGTTGGGTCAGAACAAGATCAAGTTTGGCTGTGGTGGGCTTTTGTAAAGACACTTCCACAGAGATCCTCTGTTTCTTCGCATCCATGATGAAAAGGCTAGGCTTCATCTGGCATCATCATGAACTAGTATCGTTGGGAGAGAGAAATGAAAAAACAATATTTCAACAACCCCACAGAAATATTAGTAGTGACTTCATTGAGTATTAAAGTCAGAGACTTTAACCCTCTCAATTCCCATTTGTGATGTTGCTTGCCTTACAAAAAAGGCAGGAGCTAAGAACATTAACCTGCAATAAAATGCTGAATTATTTCACAGAAGTTGCATTTCACATCTTTGCTGTACTTACTTCCTAGAGTCTCAGATGTGAGGTGCTGCTGTCTGAGTATCAACAGAAGAGGAGCATCAATGAGTCGTTACAAAACAACTGATGGTTTGTTAATTTAGACTACAGATTTTCTTTTTACTTTCAACCCAACTGTGATGACCAAATTTGAGTGATTCTTTGAAATTGAAACCTGGCGTCAAAACTTTAACCACACATTGGAAGCAATATCCTAGAAGCATCAGAAGGAGAGTCTCCTGATCCTTTACATCAGTTGTCTTCATTCTTCATTGTTTATAAGACGTTCCCATCAGACCCAGCAATACACTGGCAATATGAAGAGCTCATGCTCTGAATCAACTGTAAAGTAGCAGTGGACAAAGGAGGTAGAAACTTTGGAAGGACTGATCACTCAGAGGCACCCCTATTACACACGCAAAACTTCCTTAATGTTAACTTACGAGCAAAGTTAGCAAAGGCCTTGTGAGGTTGTGATTTACTGTTGCTTTAGTGTGCCCTTTGTTTAAAGCATTATTTTATTACACGGAGGCTTGACAAAGGGGTTAAACAAGATTAAACAAAACAAAAGGGTTCTGAAGAAGGGTTACTGCAACTGAAACATTGACCCTGCTTTCTCCGCACAGATGCTGCCAGATCTTCTGAGGTTCTGCAGCTACTTCTGTTTTTATTTTAGATTTCCAGCACCTGCAGTTCTTTGTTTTTTTTTAAACAAAACTTTTTGTTATTGAGAATAATAGTTTTTATTTTTAGGTTCTAACTTCAGGTTTCCATACTGCATTGTTCTCATGGCTGCCAAGCTTGACAGCTGTGAATGCTGGAAGATGGACTTATATTTATTACAGTAATTTTTTCTTCGAAGTCCCTTTTTAGTGACATTATCACACTGTGTAACGTGGTTGAGAGGACATGTATCACACGGCTTTCAGGTCTTTCCAAAGCTGACATTTTGTGGGATGTGAAATTGTAACTCTAAAATGATGGCCATGTACTACTACCATGTGACAGGCAGCTGTAGCTCATCTTGAGGGGAATTACAGTTGTCAATGTGCAGCTTGGTGTTCAGTGTCAATGTTGGTGCTTCAATCACTTTGTGCTGTTCTTCTAGGTCACAGAAGCTGCATTTTAAAATCACTGCGAAATTTTGAAGCAATGTAAATATTCCGAAGAAATACAAATTGACTCCTGGCATTTTGGGCATTGCATGGAGCATCAAATGGATGTGACACCGAACCCATGGTTATTTTGACAATTTTTGACTATTAAGCTAGTACTGTCAAGTGAGAGAGGGTAGAAAGTGTTTAGCATTCTGCAATAATAATTACCTATTTGGGTCTTCACCGGGATGAGTGTTTGGTTTAGATTTGATGTTCTTTTATCAAGCTGTGCACAGGCTAGTGCAAACTACATCAGTGCGGAGATTGTCCTGCTGTTGTACTGTGCTCCAAATCTTACTGTTCTACTGGTTCTTACTGGTTTGTATATGTTAATTTCCACCACAGTCTTTGTTCCATAACCACCAACTCATCTCTTCCCTTCTGAGGCTGAGCCAGGCTGTTTGCAACCTTTCTGTCATACTTGTACTCTTGACTTCCATTCATATATTCATGTTAACAATAAGACTGCATTTTTTCCTCCTCTGTAAGAAGGTCTAACTCATCCTTGCCTTGGCTTAGCTACTTCTGAACTCCTCGTACATGCTTTAAGTAATTTCTAGACTTGACTATTTTCAGTGCACTCCTGGCCAGCTTCCTACATTCTAGCCTCAGTAAACTTACAAAACACCTGCTGCCCGTGTTCTTATTTGCACTACGTTTTGATCTCATATCAAGCATGTGTTCGCAGACCTCTGTTGCGTGCTAATTTTAAAATTATCATCCTCCCTACCTCTGCAGGCACCTGCAGTCGCAATGCTCTGAGCTATCTGTGCTGCTCTAATCTCGGCTCTTCATCAACTACATTTTTAATTGTACTACCGTTGGTGGCCACACCTTCCGTTGCCAAGACCCTGAGCTCTGGGATTTCCTCACTAAACCTTTCCTCCTCTCTACTCCACCTACCTCTTTCAAGACTGTTATTTAAAATCTGTCTCTTTGACCAAACTTTTGCTCACCTGTCCTAATCTTGCCTTACGTGGCTCAATGTCAAATCTTGTTTACATGGTTCCTGTGAAGTAAGTTAGGACATCTTGCAATGTTGGAGGTGCTTTGTAAATACTTCTACTTGCTGTATCGCCTTAAGGTAGTGTTCACTTATCAGCTGCAAAACGTCAAACATTACTGGCA